ATGAGGACCCTAAAAGAAGCTTACATAGATCTAATCTACATGGGAAGTAGAAAAAGACAAGATCTCCTGAGTAAATTTGGAGCATGGGGACCTTGGTAGAGGATTGAAGGGAAGGAGAGAGACAGGTAAGGGAGCAGAGAAAAATGTAGAACTGAATAAAAATCAATAAAAAAATTTTTTAGGGGGCTGGAGAGATGGCTCAGTGGTTCAGAGCACTGCTTGCTCTTCCAAAGGTCCTGAGTTCAATTCCCAGCAACCACATGGTGGCTCACAACCATCTGTAACAAGATCTGGTGCCCTCTTCTGGTGTGCAGGCATACATGCAGACAGAATACTGAGAATACTGTATATATAATTAATAAATAAATATTTAAAAAAATTAAAAAAAAACTGCTTAGTGGAACTGTTGTGGTGGTGCATGCCTGTAGTCTCTGACACTGGAAAAGCTGATGCAGGAGAATCATCTTAGCCTCAGCAACATAGCAAGACCCCCATCTCAACAGCAACATAACTGAAGTCGCAAAAGTCAAAAGAACAGTGATTACCTGAGGGTTAGGAAGGAAGAGGAGGAGCGTGGAAGTTGGCTAAGAGGTACAAAAACACAGTTAGATAAGAGGACTAAGTTCTAGTGTTCTGTAACACCATTGGCAATGATTTATTGTGTGTTTTAAAGTAGATAGAGCCAAGGATTGGGTGTCCATACAGAGAAATGACAAATGTTTGAAGTAGCAAAGATGATAGCTGCATTCCATGTCACAGACATGAATAATGACCCCATGACGCTGTGATGGCATTGCTAACCACCATGACTTGGTTATTCCATGTGGTATATATGAATCTCTATCACTCAGACCTTAACTATGGACGATTCTTATGCACCAATTAAAAACAAAAAGCCCATTCAGGGCTAGAGATGTGGTTCAGTAGTACAACACCTTCCTGGCATATGCAAGGCCTTGGGTCCCATCCTAGTGCCGGCATCAATAAATAAACAAATAAACGCATCCAATGGAGGGACCCTTTTTCTCAGACGGTTCACCTTGCCCTCGATACTTCAAAAATCCATTCTTTCTCGGACACAGAGTTGTGGAGAGATGTGTCTATTTTTAATGTCCTCCTATATTGTGACTTGAAAGAGTCTTAAAAACGTGAAGCCGGGTTGCCCTCTTTGGAAAAGCAGAAGCAGCTTTTCCAGCCGGGACCCTGCTGCTGCGGTTACTAAGGAGACCAATTGGCTGGAGGCGCCTTAATTCATCAGTAAATCCTGGGTGGCAACACCTGGAAGGAAGGTGCTCTCGGCCTTGAGAGGGGGAGATAACTGGGTATATGGAGGCCGGTGGAGTTGTTCAGAAGAAGTGGCAAGGTTCTGAGCACTTTCTCCCCCCCCGCAGTTCCTCTTTAGAGTGGGTCCAACACCTGTTCTAAAAGTCTGCTCCTATCCCGGCCAGCAGGATATGAACCGGAGTCCCTGATAAACCTAGGGGAGAGGAATGGAGGGTACAAGAGACAAGACTCCCCTGTGGGGACCGTGGGACTCTGCTCCTTAGTTCCGCCTGCTATAGTCCTCAGCTTGGGTCCTTCTCCTGAGAGAGAAAAACCAGCAAAAGCAGGAGAGATGAGGTGAGGTGGCCTCCCTCTGCAAGTGCATTGCGACTTTCTCGTCTCTGCTACCGAAAGCTGGCAGAACCACATAAGGGAAGATGGGTTGGCTCTCCAGAGGGCAGTAGTCCATCACGGCACCAGTAGCATGTGGTGAGCATCCCTCACAAGGTGGTCAGCAACCAGCCCCACCTCCTAAAAGCTCCTCAGCCTTCCAAACGGCAGGAGACTGAATATTCAAAACAGCCTATGGGGGATGCTTAGGACTCAAAACCAGAATATGATTGTGTGTGTGTGCGTGTGTAGAACAAAGAACAACCACAGCATCAATCATCAGTCACCAACCACCTTGATTTTGAGACACAGTCTCTCATTGGCCTGATACTGGTGTTTGCCAAGGAGGCCATGCTGACTGGCTGGCTAGGCCCAGCGTCTACCTGACATCCTTCCCCAAGGCTGGGGTTAAAAGTGCACACCACCATGCCTGGCTTTTTTTTTTTTTTCCTTAATATAGGTTCTGGAGTGTCAAATTCAAGTCACCATGCTTACAAGGTAAGCCCTTTACTGAGCTGTTTTCCCAGGGTGTCTGTTCAGTCAGGAAAACAAAGGAGAGCTTGTGACTCTCTAACCAGTCACCACGCTGTGCAACAGGAAAGACAAGGACCCCGCAGCATGAGTCTGTAGCAAGGTACACAGGAGAAAGCCATCACAGAGTGACAAACGTGTACTCTGCTTTCTGAAGGGTGTGTTCCCTCCCTGGGCTCATCCCACCCCTCCCCTCTATCTCAGAAATAGCCTGATGGAACACACATCTCCATTCGACTCTCAGAGGACCTCCAGGCCGCTGGCTTCACCTCTCTCATTTGATAAACGAGAATGAAAACGTCAGAGGAGGTGACTCCTCACGCTCACTTTTTTTTTTTCCTTTCCTTGGCTGTGGCATAGGAAAGTATTTAGCTCTCTCAACATTCTTTTTTTGGTTTGTTTTTTATATTTGTAACAGGGTTTCTCTGTGTAGTCCTGGCTGTCCTGGAACTCACTCTGGAGACCAGGCTGGCCTCGAACCCAAAGATGCACCTACCTCTGCCTCCTATGTGCTGGGATTGAAGGCTTGAGCCGCCACCGCCGGCATCGCTCAACATTCTAAGAATGAATGGCAGGAGTGTTATTCAAGGAATTCCTCTGGGTAAAACATAAAATCCAAATCAACGGCTTAAACAAAAGTGTGGGCTGGCTCTCACCACTGTCCTCTTTTTGTCTTGTGACTGTAGTGTCTAGCCTGCCTGGTCCTGGACAGCGAAGACAGTCGCTGTGAGATGGTGTGTGCTGGGGACTACAGTAAAGAAAGAATTCAGCAGGAGAACTGAGCCAGCCTCTGAAAACCGACTTGCAGCTGGGTGCTGATGAGTGAAAGATTCCTGCTGAGACCGGAAGAACTTCCCTGCTGAGCCCAGCCTGAATCCCCAGTCTGTAGAATCATGAGACAGGCACGGTTCTGTTGTGTTAAGCCTCCACCTTTGGCATTAAATGTAAACACAGCAACATATAACTGAATCCTGATGACATTGGAAATAAAGCTTTAAGGGTTTTTTCCCCCTTCAAAAAACAGCGGTCTGATCCTTGGAAGTCTAGAATCAATATGGCAGATTCGTGGCCATGGGAGACCCAGAACTGTCTTTTTGACGTTGAATCACCTTTGAATTCTGTGATGGATAATAGTGTCAACTCGATGAGATTTAGAACCATAGAACCAAACCTCTGGGTGTGTCTGTGAGGGAGCTTCTCAACTAGGTAAACTGAGGCAGAAAGACCCACCCTAAGTGTAGATAACAACGTACCTTTGGCTGGGATCCCAGACTGAACAAAAAGAAGAAACAGAACTGAGTACCAGCATGCATTGCTCTCTGCTTGCTGAGTGTGACTACAATATGACCAGCGGCATCAGACTCCATCCAGTTCTTCCCACCATGGCAGACTGTACGTACCCTCAAACTGTGAGCCAAAATACACCCTTCCCCCTTGGTTTGTTGAGCATTTGTTTCCCAGCAACAAGAAAAGTAGCCGGTAACCATACGGCTTTCAACCGCGAAGTTGCCTCAAAATCCAGGAGAGCGGCTATTGCTCCGGCAATCATACATGTGTTCCAGGAAAGGAGGAACGGGGGAGAGAGAAAGCCTCCACTGCCTGTTTGGACACCTTAAAAAGAGCTTCCTCAAAACCCCACCTAAAGACCAGTGGTTTGACTCTCACTGGCTGCCTCAGCTGCACCAAAGACGAGGGAAATGCGGAGTTTTAGCTGAGCAGGCTGTCACTTTGAATAAAATCAAACCCCTGCTCAATAAGGAGTAACAAGGGGATGGGAACATATTGGGCAGCCAGCCAGCAACATCTGCCACAGCACATACGAGATGAGGCTCCATCCCAAGGACCCCAAAGTACAGCAAGATGCAAAACTGACCCCCCTCTCCACATCCCATGCCATACAGAGGTCATGTTGACTTCCCAAAGAGGTTGTCCTGGCTGCTTTGGCCCGTGGTGAGAAAGTGGACTTCAGAGATCTCTGTGCCGCGTGGGCAAGCTGGTTGCCTGGACCTTTTCACCAGGAACATACACAAGTGGAAATTTTATTCTCGGGACTTGTTCTTCACCTGGACAAGTGCTTGCTGTTTGCTTTCTGTTGTGCTATAATTTCAACAGGACAACCATCGCCACTCAAAAGCATGTTTCTGACACGTTTAAACCCTGTGCCCATGAGCGATCAGGGCAAGCGCTTCCCTCCACCCTCCTCTGCCAAGCCCCCAGTCCACCAAGAGCTAGATGTGTGAATGCTTGCTCTCATTGGATGCTGAAAGCCTTGCATCCTGGAATATTTTAAATCTTAGGAGAATGAAGCACAGGGTCCTGGTGCAGTTCTCCTGGAGCAAGGAAAGGGGATCCATGGGGTTAGGCTGGACTCTGAGCTGCCTGTGAGCCACCTGTCTGCAGCATGCTCCCTGCCTGAGCTAAGAAGGAAATTAGGGCTCTGTAGCAGAGCCGGGGTGGCTTCAGCAGCCTCCAATACCCTAAGGTGCGGCGGCAGCTTGGAAACCCCCTGGATGCTGATGGAAGACCTCAGGTGGCACCAACTCGAGGGACAAGACAGTGAGGTGGGAGAGAACACGGCACTAGCATTTACTAAAGGCCTGCGTGTTCCAGATACAAACAGAATCTCATCACTCTGCTCCCAGCTTGGGAGTCGGTGCACCCATTCTACAGAAAGGAATCCGAGACTCGCAGGAGACACACCTGCTCTGAGGGAGAAAGCTGAAATCTCGGGGCCCCTGCCGAGCCCCTGCTCTGCCTTGTGTACTGTACCGTGCTGTGGGCACCTGTGGAAAATGCCTCCAGAGCCACCCTGGTGTGACCTGGAGCTTGCCACCCCAGTGGGATCAGGACATCAGGAGGGGAGCTCAGCTCACCCCTTCTCTGCACCAGTGGGAGGTGGGCACGAGCTCCCCCCCCCTCTCCCGTGTGCTGCCTGAGCCTCACTCCTCAGGCAGAGAGGGTACTGAAGAAGACTACAGGATTTGGGGTCTGCCTCATCCCTTGTCATCAGGAGTCTGTTTTTTCTGAGTGACTTGCCAGCTCTCCCTGCCTGGCCAGCCTCACAGTGGCTCTGAAAGCAACCGGAGAGGCAGCTGAGGGATCCTGGCTGAACCGAAGTCCAGGTAAAGCAGGCTAGAGGCTGGATTGATGGGGAGGTTGGCGTGTCACAAGTCTGAACGCAGAGCAGGGGAGGGGGCCAGGCAGGCAGGATTGTAGTTGGGTTGTTCGGTTGATGAAGGGGGTCAGCGTAGGCATGTGTCATCGTCGAGGTAGGCAGGGAAGGGGAGGGCTGTGCGTGGGGGGGGGGGAGGATATATATGCTGGCGTGGCTGACACAGAGGAACAAGCCTCACATCTGAGAGAGCCCTGTGACAGACAGCGTCAGGTAGGCAATGCATGTGGCACCAACACCAGCCGGCTGGCACTATCTGCCTGGAGCCTCTCTGGGGGAAAGCAGGGAAGCCTGGCCGGCTCCTCCACCTCTGTCTTTTGTCCACTGTGGCTGCTTGCTGGTCTCTTGTGAGATTATGGCTTCATTCATCTTATTCTCTGTGTTCCGATGGTAGAGAAGGGGGAGGGCGGAGGACTGGCTAAGCTCAAAGAGAAATGCGAGAGAAAGCTAAACTTGGAAATGAGGAAAAGTTTTGCTTTCCCAGTTGTGGCCCCTATTGGGTGGCAGATACACATGGAAGAGGTGGCTACAGGAGAGAGGGCAGACCCAGGGAAGGGGCTTGCCATTCAGAGCAGCCCTGGGAAGCCCCCCGCACACCTTATGGGGATTTTTCATTCTGTGGCTTCCTGCCCTTTGTGTAAGCTGCCGCTCTGGTGTCGTTGGATCTGATGTCATTCTGGTTGGAGTTCTCTTATACCTTAATGGAAATTGTTAACACTATGGAGAAAAGACAGACCCGAGGGCTGAGCTTCACCTGTGTGCATGGCTGAATGCAGTCAGTCGCTGGCTGGGTGGATTTCCTGGGCATTTCCGAAGGCATGACCTTGGTTCTCCGGATCCGGGCTTGTTTTGAGGTATCCTTTCTCTCTTGACATCTTTCTCTCCACTGCCCATCTGTCCCATCCAAAGGTCTCTCTACCCAGGTCGCATGGAACTCTCGCACACGTCAGAGCATCTGAACTCTCTCTGCCCTCTCTCAGCCTTCTCTTTCTCCTCCTCCTCTCTTTGTGAGTCTCGTCCCCCCTCCCTTCTCTACCCATCGTCTCCTCTCCCCCATCTCCCTTTGGCAAGTTTGGAGGGGAATTTCAAGTCAGGCAGGATGATTTGGAAAGGGGGCTATTTAAAGCACGCCGCTTTGGACTTGAATACCCCAAGCCTGGGCTTAAACATCTGTGTTTAGCTTCCTCCAGCAGCTCATAATTGCCCCAATTATAACCAATAACATTGTTCAGCAGACTAACAAAAGCTGCGCTCCACACGGCATTTGCTAGCAAGCCCAAACGAGAGTTTTCATCGCAGAGGGAGAAAAGTAACTGCCCGGCTTCGTATCAAAACCTCGCAGAGAGAATGCTGTGATTTCTCGCTGCCTGTGGGTGGGTGCTGCACACACCCTCCTTTTCTCATTTATGGAGCCTAGCAGGGAAATATTCTACAAGCTTCCATCAGTGCCATGATACCTTAGCAGAAAGGATTTGTATTCCTTGGGCTTGCTGAGTCTTCTGCAGGGACAACTGCCCCCCCAGACATCACCTGCGTAGTCAAAGGAGCAGCCGCACTTTTCCAGGTGACAGCCAGCGCTGTCTGTGGAAGGTGCTCTCTGGTGCCGCTGAGGGTCGTCTTCTTCAGGTACAGCATCCCTTCCTTATCGGCTGGAGTCGGAGGGCACTTAGGGCTGCAGTAAACTCAGCAGGTTTTGCATCGCCAGTGAAGGGAGTAATTGCAGGAATTAGACGTTAGTGGAGCCTGAGAATGGAGCTGTCACCAAGCAATTCCATCTTCAATCAATCAGGTATTTATCAGCTACACCCCACCAGGCAAGGAGAGGCATGGGGCTCTATAGATTCAGCAGAGGTGCTAATAACAGCACTTTACTTGGTGCAGTGATTTACGCACTTCGCACCCATTATCTCCAGCAGCAACCCTGGAAGGCAAAAAATCATTATCTCAGAGTTGCAGGAACAAGACCCCCAGTGCAGCAAGCAAGCCCAGCCCAGGGCAGCCGTCCTAGGTCTGGTGCTCGCTCCCCTTAAGGTCTGTGAGGCTGGTAAATGAGTTGCAGGCACACAGCACAGACGGACAGGAAGCAATTCAAGATAATGGGATAATTCAGGACTGGGTGGGATCAGTCCTGCACTTGTGGTCCAGAGAATCAATGTTGGAGGACCTTGAAGAAGGGTATCTTCCAGGGACTGAGGCCAGTGGAAAGACGGATGGAGTCAGGATGGACCAGAGGTCTGAAGGCAGGTAGGACAAAGGCACAAAAGAAAGGCAAAAGAATTAGCATTTCTTGAAGTCACGAAAGGCAGGCAGTAAGATAAACTTGGTTATCTACTTATTTCACACACACACACACACACACACACACACACGGCAGTAATGAGAGGCTGGATCCTTGTGTACTTGTAATGATGTGGTTCCAAGACCCTCCCCCAACTCCTCAGCTCACACAGACCGTAAGAAAATGTCTAAGTCTCCTGTACTCTGGGTCATTAGGTATTTTAGGAAAGGATGAACTCATCTCAGAAAATGAGAGGCTTCAACACCTCAGCTTTTGGGGGTTTGGGTTCTTGGGAACTCATTAGGCAAATGGGATCTTTGAAACACTTCTCTTTCGATGCTTACAGCTGCTCCCACCATCTCACATAGACCATGCAATTCTAACCACAAACTCTAGCTGTGAGGTCCGGGGCACACCAATTTTTGGGAGGGTGGGGGAAAGGGGACACAAGTTGGCCTTCTGAGCATTGTCACCCTCCATAGGCTACAATCACTTTAATAATGGACTTTGCATGGTCCTGGGTCTGTCAAAATCCTAGCAGCTGCTTAGGTATTGCAGCAGCATAGACGAGCCAGGTGGGAAAAGCTGGACTTGCCTCCCTGACAGGCAGCCAAGGCTCTGCAGCCTGCAGCGTCATAGTCAGCCTCCCTTCTCCTCATGCCAGTCCTGTGATCTTCCCCCGCCCTGTCACCTCATTCATCCTTTCATTCATCCAACTGGGAACGTGCATAGTGTCCCTGATAGGAGCCGAGCAGTGCTTGTGCCCATAGTGCAGAACTGTCCGTCATCAGCTTCCTCCCACCTCACAGCTAAAGTCTCAAAATGTGAAGGAGCCCAGACCAGTGGTCTCCAGAGGGGCTTACCCACCCAGATACCTGCTAGGTTACTAGAAATTGAGATGTTAAATTATTTTTTTTATTTGGACACACAGGTGCAGACGACACACAGGCACATAAGAACACTTTCTCCCGTAGTCTTCACATGTGGAAGCCAGAGGTCAACATCAGGCTATTGTTCCCCACCTTATTTGAACAGAATCTCTCGCTAAACCTAAAGATCCAAGTTTTGCTAGACTGACAGGAAGCAAACCAGCAGCATCCACTTGTCTCTGTCCCCAGCCTTAGCACTGGGGTTAGAGGCACACAATGCCACTCCTGGATTTTTATCAGGGTTCTGAGCACATGTCTTTATGCTTGTGTGGCAAGCATGACTGAGTCATCACCCCACCCCCCAAAATCTTACCTTACTTAATTTGCACGTTAGTGGATTTTATATAATATATGTAACATTCATCGAGAGGTTGGGAATGTATATCCAAAACTGGTTCCTTGTGTCACCGTGGTTCATGACAATTAATTCTTTATTTCAGAATAACTAGAGGATTTAGAATGTTTACTACACAAAGGAATCGTAAATTTTCAAGGCAGTGGATGTACCAACCACCCCAATCTGATTGTTACACATTGCACACGTGTGGAAATAACACATTGTACTTCCATAAATAGATATAATTGTGTCGATTAAAACTTTCTTTAAAACTGGTTGCTAGAGATAGAAAATTAAAGAAGCTGGAAGATTATATGAGTCTAGATGCGTCATTCTCTTCATATCTGGGTTTTCTGATCATTTTTAAAAGAACCTAGAGTGAATTTATAAAAGTAAACAAAAGCTTTAAAAGTCCATCTAAACTATGCTGACAGAGTACGTGGTAGCATTCGCCAGGATCAGGAAGGTGAACATTAAGAGCACTCCCTTGCGATGTGTGACAGCCAAAAGGACATGCATCTGACTTCCCTCCTGGCCCTTTGTGAGACCCAGATGCACTTTCATGACCTTCATTTGAGATTGTCTGGAGCCACTACTCTGTGATCTCCTCCCCTCCCCTTCTTTCTTCTCTTACGGGCAGAGGGCAGTTCTGGCCATTCATAAAATCAAAGGGTATTATTAACCATTTCATGCAACTGTCTGTTTTAGAGAAAGAGAAACTGAGGCCCAGGAAAAGACAGTGTCATGCCTAAGATCTCACAAGTAGCAACAGAATCAGATCTAGAACCCAGGACCTTGTCTCCAAGCACAGGGCTCTTTCTCATTTACAGCTCTTCCTGAGCACCATTGGTCCACATAGTGTAGACGGGGGCCTTTGTCCACATAGTGTAGACAGGGGCCTTGGTCCACATAGTGTAGACGGGGGCCTTGGTTCACATAGTGTAGACAGAGGCCTTGGTCCACATAGTGTAGACAGGGGCCTTGGTCCACATAGTGTAGACGGGAGCCTTGGTCCACATAGTGTAGACGGGGGCCTTGGTCCACATAGGGTAGACAGATGCTTTGTGCCCTAACTCTCTTGTCCTTCCCCTTCTCTCTGACTGGAAATTGAGAGCAGGAGAGAAACCTTTTAAGAGCAAATGCATCCATCACAGGAAAAAAAACAGCAGTCTCCCTGGGTAAAAGCAAGCCATACTCTATATGGAAGTTTTAGCTGTTGCTACCCCAGAGTTTTGTTCCCTGGGCTATGAGAAACCCTGTGACTCTCGATGTTTTTATTAGAAAATGAGGGTGGGACTCCTTCCTCCTAGGAGCCTGTATGGTCACTTCCTTTCCATCAGTGCCATATGTGGAATATCGTTCTTTACAGGTTATGGATGACCTTTCTCTACATCTCTAACCCTGTA